GAGAATACAGTGCTTCAAAAATATCTGCTAGCTTCTAAAACACAAATTACAAAATCATCGAATCTCCTGTTTCAGCTACATGAACAATACTTCTAATCAAGCTTCAGCAGCCTCGGGGAAGTCAATTCACTGACACAACTCCACCAGCACCTCTGGAAAGAGTGCTAGGTTATTAAAGTTTGCAGGCTGGTGCAGAATTTCACCCACCCTAACAGGCAGAAAATCACAGTGGATGATTTCAGTACAAGTGAAAAACTCCATGTGGAAGAAGGAAGGAACGTCCTGTCTTTATTTAATGAAACAAAAAAGAATGAAGACATGACAGAAGCCTCTTTCTTTACTTTTTGGATATGTGTGAGGACAGGTAAAGGCTGTGAAACTTCAGTGCACTATAAAGTGAGAAGCACACTATTGCCCTTGGGATGCTTGTTATTCATGTTAATCTTGAAGAACAGTTTCAATACAGAAACTTCTGAAGTTTCAGAACCAGAGTCTTTTGGTATGGAATTCATGAAGAATTGCTTTGCATTATTTCAGGTACGGTATTGCAAAAAATTATTTTTACATTATTCTAAGGGGATAGGAAAACATACTGAGGGGAACTGGATGGCCATCCTGCATAAATTGACACCATTCCTTCCATTTAATTTTAGCTAAAACTTACACAGCTGAGAATCTAACACAGTGAGAAAAGGTAACTTGCCTCCAGTCATAGCCATGTAATAGAATCAGGAATAAAACCACAATTTCTGACTCCCAGTCACAGGTAAATTAGCTATTACTTCCTACAGCGTGCATCTACATTATCCTTGAAGACAACCTCAAAGCCAAATTCACAACCTTCCACATTACCTAGATGTGGCAATGCCTTTGAGGCTTCCCTTAGAGTGATCCACCTGGTGAGCCAAGAACTAAAAATCTCCATTTTGCTTAGATCTTAAGGTACTCATAAGGGAACAAATCAAAGCTGTCTCCTATGAAGACCCATGGAGGGAAAAAAACCCCACAGGCAAATTGGAATAAAAATTCAGGACCAAAGACAAGCAAAACAAAGCTGTTTTTTCCACCCAAGTCATGAGGTCAGAGATCTGCTATTGCAGAACACATAAATGGCAGTCAGAATTTTTCTCCTTGAAAGTAAAAAACTAATGAAACTACATCCAAAGCTAGTATTAACTAGAGCAAGTTGCACTGCAATTGACTGTGCAGAGTGTTGCAGATTAGGCTGAGTCTGATGACACTCTAGGTGATAACAGTGAGCCAGTTTTTCAGGAAATGCCAAAGGGTCTTGGTTTTTCTGCCTAAAGGTTCTGTATCTGAAGTTCTTAAACATTATGACTCTTAAGGATCTTGCAAGTGCTGAAGCAGGAAGTGGGAGTGGGTATCAGCAACACCTGGACTAACAACACCCATGTGATAGAGCAGAAACAGGATGTTAGCTTTTATCGGGAGGGCAATGCAGATAATGCAGGAGGTTGGATTTGGGTATTCTAAAGCATCTCTCCTGACCACAGGACTGACTTGCCTCATAGAACAATATCCCCTAATGCTTTAGGAGGGTGATGATCAGCACTTCTTACATCAGCTGGGACCAGGACAGATAAGCATTGCTTCAGTGACAGTGCTGATCTGCCATAAAAGGTGAAAATGGTCTTCTAAATCAGCATCTCACCATTTATCATCAGGAGACAGCAGCCACAGTAGCTGTGCATGATGAAGGCTTGTAACTGCATCCATGCTGCTTGTGTGATATTTGTGCCACACTTAGAAAGGCTGCAGCTAGCACAAACAGTGGCTGCATGGCCAGTGAGTGGGCCCTAACAACAGCCCTGCTTTTCTGGTGGTGATTCCTGACTTCCTCTCTGAACATCTGCTGGAGTTCCCATGTACCGAGGGAAAACAAAGGGAAGAGGTGCAGACAGCACCTGTATAAAGCAACGTGATAAATCATTGATGTATATGATTCAAGTATATAAGGCATAGCTTGAATATTAGATATGTTAAAAATTGAGCAGGGGTACAAACCCCTTTATTTGTTTTGATTGTTTCTTCCACAAATAATTTTTCCCAAGATTTAGTTATAATTAAGAAACTTCTCCAGAAAGCTCCTATTTCTATCAACTGACTATCGTTCATGGTTTTGACCCAGTTAAGCGCTGGCTATGAATAGCAGCCCTGGGCTTTGTTCCATTTCCCTAAAAATTCTTAAGGAGGAATCTGAGAGCCTGAGATCCTCATACGGCAAAAAGAGAAGGATAAACCCACTAAATGTTTCTCAAGGAAGATTCTGTCTAAATTTAGAAAACTCTAGATAATTAATTAGGAAGAGACTGCAGGACTTCAGAGACACCTCTATGGTTTTGCACAGGAATCACAAAAAAGCTTATTCCAGAAATCTCTTTAAATACCTAGAGAGTGAGTAAAGTTTCAGTAATTTCTGTTCCTACCCCAATCATTTCAGTGATTAAAATCAAGCATCTAGAGAGGAACCTAGTGTACTTCAGGCCAATTTTGCTTGAATGCCTTGCTAGGTTAGTGACTACAACAGAAAGCATGAGCTGATGATCAAAAAGTGCAAAACTGAAGTGTCATCTTAGGTAGGTTCTGTCTCTGGCTCTGGTCTGTTCTGTCCTTTATACAAATCACAAAATATCATTATCAGCTTTCGGAAAAATATTGAACTATAGAGACAATTGTTTTTATTGTTACACACATCTGGCCAAATTTTGAGGAGACGTAGAATAGGAAATAGCGGATAGTTCAAGCTGACAGGCTCCACAGTGAACGGTAGTGTCATAAATGCAAAATGCAACTCTTAACCTTTAGAAGGTTAATAATTAATAATTAAGGCAACACTTAACCTTACTTCTATTTTTCATAAGTATGAAAGAAAGATCAAAGATCTCTAATAAACCATCAGGACTTGCTTTTGCTTAAAATCCAGAGAAATAAGAAGTGCTTTCTGTGAAGAGCATTGCTCTTAAAGCACTATTGAAATTAAAGGTGTTATTTTAGTTCTGCACAGCCCACCCATAAATTTTATTTCAAGATAAGCATTTCCAGTTTTACCACGAAAGCTACAAATGGAGTTTTATCAAAAAACTTTCTGGTGATAGAGTTTTAAGTCAGAAGAGCACAAATTAATGTTGAAAGAGAAGTAAGCAGCCAGGATAATTTTCTTTTATTTATAATAAATGGAAGTGGAAATTAGAGAAAGAGAGAAATATATGGTTTGTTCCTGTTTTTTTTCCCAGAAATGTATACTTGGAATACCAGATTCATAATCTGCATCGTACTCCTTTGTACGTGCATCATCTCTTCTCCATCTCAGTTACCCGAACATCCCTCAAAGGCCTGCCTGGATAGGTGACACAAACCAATATTTAAACTCCGTCCAGCTAGCAACAAAATCACATTCTGCAGCTCCCTTTGTAAGGTTCTCGAGTCTTTCTAGAAATGTTCCCTGCCGTCTCCGGGAGGCAGAGTGCTCCTTGGCGGCCCGGTGCTGCCCACCGTGCACCATCCCACCAGCAGAAGGCTCCCTATCCCACCGAGTGCCGGGGAGCAGCATCCCCGAGCTGAGCCAGGCGAGCCAGGAGGCTGCAGCTCACACACCAGGAGCAGAATGAGGGATCTATCCAGTCCCCATTATCCTCTGATGCTTTGCTTTTGTTTTAACGCTCAAGGCGACTGTGTCTAGCATATCGCCTCTTTCTACTTTTGCCTTTTAAATGAATTCTCGGTTACTCGGTGTGCAAATATTTGCTTGCGTCTGCCGGTGGACAGGGTGGTATCACTTTCATCTGCACGTGGGGTATGCCCAAAGTATGGGGCATGCCTGGATGGGAACTTCGGTGACATCTTCAGTATGGCTGGTTATCCTAAAATCCATCCTGCTTGATGCTCGTATGTTTCATTAACAGATGAGTACAGAGGGCTGCCATGATCTCTGTGCCGAAAGCTAACTTAGCCTCAGATCACAAAATATGAAATTCAGTAGTACATTTCTTCTGCCCTTCTTCTGCACTGCAAGACAGAAAGTCACAGCAGCCTCGAGGATTCCCCTGCTCACCAGGGCTACACAGAACCCTCGAGCAATCCCAGGGACTATGAGCTGTAGCAGCACAGAGAATGTCTGCCCATATACTTTCATGCCCCAAAAGCCTCCCTCTGATGAAGCTTCAAATCTATGCTGGCTAAAAAATGCCTTTACACTGAAAAACACTTCTGTGAGTTACTTATGGCAGCTTTACAGCTCATTTACGCAAAGGAATCATGAACCACAGATGAATCAGGCTCAAATAAAGTGATTTGCAAAAGGCCACACAGTAAGCAACAGGGAGGACGCGAGCCAGGGACTAAGTGCATGCTCTTTTGTGCTTGGTTTTGCCGGTGCAAAAATCCAATGCCAGTGTGCAAAATACATTATTTTCTCTGCTCCAAATCTCAACAAAGAGAAAAACAAAAGTAGTTTTCTCTCGTCTCTTACAGCAGCCTAGCAAACCAACCTTCATGTCTGACTTTCAGAACTTTATGGAAAATTGTAACTTTCTTTTGCAGACAAAATTATAAAGCATCTTTTAAAGAAAACTTTATAGCTGCACTATTCTCCCTTCTCTGGAGGAAACTTAAATGTGGTAAAGACTTTGAAGTGAGCCTTGGGTTTGTTACAATGGACTAACCTGATTAGAAATCATGCAAACTCTTGCTGCTCTTTAGCTGCATTCCCCCACAGGCTGTATTACAGCTCTCTAACCAGTCCCACAGCATTGAATGATGTCATGGGATCTGCAGCTCAGCGAGATGAAAGGGATAAAGCGGAACCCGCTGGCACTGGGGAAAGCTTCCAACACACAATCCACAACACAGCTTGGGAACTCAAAAGCTACAGATCCAGCCACTCAACCCCAAGCATTTCAGAATCGTGTGCATTCTCCCAGCACAAGCAAGGAAAGGGGGAAAAGAGCTAGTGCAGAGCACTGAGAGGCAGAATTTGAGTGCAACTACCTGCTGGAAAAGGAGCTCTTTTTCCTCGCCAAAGCACTGCCTTTGATGTACGGCAACTGATCACTGATCAGATTACAGGCATTTGGTCTCAGTGCTCGTCTGCCTTTGATCTGCATGGTTAATTTTATTTTCCCGGATTTGGAGTTTCGTCTGGGCTTGTACTGACATACTTTTTTTTTTTTTTTTTTTTTTTAAGGACGTAAAAGCATTTAATACAGAAGTTCTGGCGGTGTGGAATTAAGCTGCAGAAACTCTGGCACTGGAAAACTTCATCAGATAACAGGTACTGAATTTTGGGGTTTTTTTCCTGTTTTGTGTTGCAAGATTTTTTTAAATTATAAAGTTCACATAACCGATAATACTACACATCGCTGTGTGTACAAAGTTCAAAAGATTGTTTGTAATTTATGCAGCATTTTGTTTGCAGCTCTTGGGCAGAATTATATTGAGAACAGACTGTCTAGAATAATAGAAAACTGAAGCAAACCCTGCTTCAATGCTTTGGGGACACAAAGGGTTTTGGGTTGCACTGCTCATTCATACCATCTATAGCTTTGTAAATTTATATTTGAATACATGTATGACATGACTCAGGGGAGTACTTATTTTCTAAGAGAAGACCAACCTTATCTCCTACACACTGTCATACTTTGTTTGTTCTCAGTGTGTTTATTAAACTGTGTCTTCTTCGAGAAACACTTTTAAGCCTAATAGTTCCATACTCGAAATGAAAAAAAGTCTCCACTTCCACAACTTACTAGAACTAAATTTATAAACATGACATCCTTATACACAAAAGGAAATGGTTTTAAGATTGAAGAGATTACAGTTCAGCTGTACCATATGAAATCTTGAAAATAAAAGTAATCTTTTAACCTGATGCTAGAAGTTTCCTCTAAGGCATTTTAATAAATATATTAAAGATACCTTAGGTTTGTCTGGAGCCAGAAGCTAGTTTTGCTGAACTTTGTAGAAGTTTTTCTGCATTTTAGTGGTGCAATTTCCATTCACAGTGTTTGTATTCTGTTCCTCAAACTCCTACTTATGAAAAGTATTGTGTTGAAGAAATTTTAAGACATCAACTCCAGAAATTCATTATAAGAGAACAATCTTTTGAAGGTTTAGGATTATTCACATATTTGCAGTTTTAAAGGGCCAGATCTCTGTGTGAGTTTGGGCCAAATCCATGAGTGTTCTGTGCCTGCAGCTGGAATCAGACTGTTAAAATAAGACTCAAACTCCTTCTGTAGTATTTAAATATAATTTAGATTTTCAGAAGAACTTAGAACCCATAATTGGGACCAGACTTGCAAACATTCCAGACACTGAGGTCTTTGAAGATCTAGTCTTAATGGTAGCTAGTAATACTGAGTTATATATTCTTAAGTCCAAATTTAAGTGTTTATAAATCTTAAATACATTTATAACAAATTGCAACTAAAAGTCAGCATAAATTACAGCTGTTAAGCATTATTTGAAAACTATTCTTTGAGAGGTCTCCCAGTCCACAGGACCATCAAGATCTTCATATTTCAGTATGCACCATAGTGCAACATGCAAACCCAAATTTTAACAGTCTGCTTGCATCTGAGTAAGATCAAGTTATCAACACTTCCAAATAAATGTAGTTAGCTTTCATTACTCAGTCTGCAAAATTTGTTTCTTCTAATTAAAACTGTATTTGTTTATATAGAACTTCCATTTACTGAATATCAAGAGATAATATGCCAGACACAGATTAACTAGGCCTGACTTGGTATCATTTAGTTTTCTATGCCATCAATTAATTCGTATTCTCACTTAACAAGTCAATTATATTATAAGAAAAGTAATTAGCACTGTATGAATAATATGTGTATAGCTGTCAAGGAAGAATATAATTTAAGGCATAGCCAAAGCAAAATTTAGTATTTCTCCCTAACAATGCTGTACTAAAACATGTTCCTTTAACCCTGAAAAGTTACAGGGTTTATGGCTTTATTTATTAATTCTGTGCTTCACTGATAATCTTATCTTCCTTTCCGGTCCCCTCTTGCTTGTTGCTTGTTTTCCAATATGTACAATTATTTTCTGAGGAAAATTGTTTCTAAGCCTTATCTCTGCTTGGTGTATAGTAGAAAGGGAAGCAAATTTTAAAAAATAACACGAGGAGTCTTTTTCCTCAGAAGACAAAATTACTATGGAAGTCTAATACAATTAAACTATCACTACAAGGATCTGACCTATCACACACATGGGTGAAATTGCAAGCAGGAGGAACACTGGTTAATCAGATAGATTACAGTGTTGAGTAGGATTTGCATCGATAATTATTTGCAACATTTGGGCCCTGAAAATGCATTTAAGAAACAAAGTTTTTTTCATTTTGCAAAAAGTCCCTAGGATTTTAGGTTATCTCCGCAGATATTTAAACAAAGATGGGCGTCAACCCAATTAAACTGAAAAATATCTTTGTTTGTCTGTATGTAAGTGAGGCTGAAATGAAAACACACTTGAACACATTCAAGCATGGTGGGAAGAGGATTTTCAGCATTTTTGTTGTTTTACATAGCAGTTCTCTGAGAGTTTAGCCTGTCATTGATCTGACTTTTAAAGATTAAATAGTAATAATTCTTGGCACTAGTAACTTTGCTTTTACTAAGAGCTGTATAAACATTAATTAATCCTCAGGCTTAAGCCTTCAGAAACAAAAAGTTCACAATGCTTTTTCAAGCAAATCTGACTAGGAAACTCACCAGTGTATGATTTATTTATTAAAATAACTTGAGCGATTTCTGATTATAAATGGATCCATTTCCAAACAGTGTGCCTTAGATAACATCATAAACATATTTTAAGGTTTGTAATAGTTAAGATTATCAAAAGACATTGCACAGTTATACTGACATCAGTTTCCAACAGCTGTCATAACAAGAGTAGATCTATCTCACAGTTGACTGGGGGAACTGTGTTAGCATTTGAGATATGAAGATAACAACTTCCTATTGCTGTACAATTTCTGCTTCCACATCAGATATGTCACGCAACTTAGTCTTATCAAAGGGGTCAGTTGAAACTGCTTTCCAAATATTTCTTTTTTGCTTTCTCTGTTGTAGTGAGAATCTCTGTACTAATTTCAACAATTCACTTCTTCAATTTCCTGAGAAGCATCATGATTTAAAACAAAGTAAATACCACAATTTGCAACATCTTTCAGTGATGAATGGAACTGGTTAATCCATTTTAAATTCAGGGGAAAGATTTTACATGCTGCAACAAGGACTTAAAGATTTAAGTTTCAGTGTTAGAGACAACATGTTGCTCTGAGTTCCTTAGCATAGGAACCCACTGTCTGATGAAAGTCTCAATGTTTCTTTATATGGTAATCCTGAGTGTTTAGTCAACACTTCAAGAACTCTGGGGTATTTTAATACCTTTGTCTAACTATAGTACTTTAAGACAAGTATCTGAAACATACATGATGATTCTACTAAGAAAAACTCATGCAATAGTTTCACTGGTGGCTCCAGAAAACAGATAACATACAAAAGATTGTCTGTAAACAGTGAGACTGTGCATAGTGCTCAGTGCTGTGCAGCAGCTGCTATTCACAACAGATGCACTGCTGTTGCGCCATTCCTCACTGACATTCCAGCCTCTTGCAGATCTCCTCCTGGCAAGGGTCCTGAAGCAAAACTCTTCTTTGAAGGCCCTTTAGAAGATAATTACATGAAAACCCCTGTTCATTTTGCGTTGTTTGGATTTTATAATTGAAAACAACTAGTTTTGTAGAAATCATTTCTCTCTTTGCATACAACTTTCTGGATTTCAATGAGCACTCCTTGTTTTTAGAGAAGCCCATGTGGCTGGTGATCTTCAAAATTTTGTCTGTGAGGAGGTCCAAAAATTCTGTTTATTTGAAAATGTTTTACTTCCCAGTATAAGCATTTGTTCATTTTTTCAGAGCCTAACACAGTTCCTTGTGTTTCTATATGGTTGTCTAGACTGTAAGTGGATCATTAACCTTTTCATTAGAAGTAAAACTAATGATCTGAAACCCCTGCAGCAGCAGTTCTTTTACCAAGGTCCCCAAGACTGGTTTCACCAATGTTGGAGCATTACTAACTTCAAAAAAGCTCCTAATTTGTGTCACAGTAAGTAGCAGTAACACCCAACCTTGCGACAGTGAAAAATTTACTATCCATGAAGGGCTGGATTTCTCCATTTCTCCATGGATACTCACATTTGGTATTGACACTGTGCTTACAGCTGGGTAACTTATTATCTGCAGAGTGGATAAAATATTCCAGGCTCTGAACTAGAAGGGAAAAAAAGCTACTCAAGTTCTTTGGAAAGGAGGGCTTGCAGAAAGGAGAATTTGCAGTGTGTTATCAGAAAGCCTCAGTCATGTTTTTTGGGCAGGAGAGGTGGAAAGGGCTTTGCTGAGTTACAAGGGCTCATTCAACACTCACCTGAACAGTGGCCAAGGGCCAGCCCCTTTTGAGCAGCCCAGCAACCATAAGCCTGAGCACCCTCTGAGGGGAATCAGCAATGCTAAAGCTGCAGTCCCAAAGCCAGGCAGCGTCTGGAGGCAGGGGTGGGCACAGGAGTGCCTGAGTGAGTGCCCTGCTACTCCTATAAAAGGGACATCAGTGCCTCACTTGTGATTCACCCTGGCTTCGTACCGCTGGTCTGAGGCACACACCTCAACTCACACCCCCCACCATGGACACACGGCGCAATCCATTAATCCATGATTCCATGATTCCACGATTCCGTGAATCCATGAATCCATCAATGAATCCATCAATTAATCCATGCACCCATGCATGTGTTCATGCATGTGTCCATGCATCCATGCATGCGTCCATGCGTCCATCCATGCGTCCATCCATGCGCCCATCCATGTGTCCATCCGTCCATCCATCCATCCATCCATCCATCCATCCATCCATCCATCCATCCATCCATCCATCCATCCATCCATCCATCCATCCATCCATCCATCCATCCATCCATCCATCCCATTGGCTGCCCGTGCTCAGCTGACGGCCCAGCCCGGGGCGGGCGCGCCGTTGCCGGGGTGACGGGCCGGGCGCCGAGGGGCGGCGGGGCGGGGGCGGGGGGGGGGGCGGGGGCGGGGCCGCGGG